GTTCATCCATACCGTTACCTTTAAACTCCTTTTCTTTTCTTATTATGTGCATGTAATCAAAGAATTATTCATTTTTCACCTTTTCTCCTCGCACACCTCCTGTATATAAAACATGGCGAATTTTCATTAAAATGTAATAACGCAAAATTAAAAAAAGAAAAAAAAGAATTGATAATATTCTTCGTCCACTTTCCTTCGATTATCAAATTCCACGTAGAAACTTTCTCTTTCACCCTTGAATACATTAACTATTTATAATATAAAATATTCACACCGTCCCCTTTTTTTTCAATTATCAAATTCCGCATAAAATTCTTCCATCCTTGAAATCTAATTACATCGGTAATTTTTCCGCCTCGTGATTATTATTATTATTATTATTATTATTATTATTATTAAACATCGTTGAAGTTGATCAAAGGTAAAGGTTCGTCATCAATGATAAAAACGAGTTTACGAGCTCTTACCTTTCGTGAGGCAGACACAAACGAGTGTAATTCTCCGCGGCAATGGTGGTTAACGTTAGTACGGTAACCAGAAAGCAGAGGGCCTCCAGAGTGCATTCGAATCGGCATGTGCTCAACGACTCTTCATGACCCGCCAGGATCACGATCACCGACACAGGTATCACGAGCCCTGTCACTAGTAGATCCGCCAACGCGACGTTCACTAGAAACGCGTTCCCTGGAACAGAATATATAATTGCCACGAATTATAGTCGAGATCGATTGTGAATTAATAGAAAGATTGCAATTGATATGTATTCGTATGGAATGAGTGATCTGATTCGACGTAAATATAAAGAAGATGAAAGATAAAAATATCGAAAAATCAATAATCGAGAAACGAAGCCTCTTTCGCTGTGAATAAAATATCTTTGATAAAATATAAGATAGAAAAAAAAGGATGTGTATATATGCAGGTTAGTCAAACAATTTTTTCTCAAATTCGTATACGAATCGATATTTTCTCACCGTCGAAACGCAAGATGTGGTACGATTATCGACGTTTTCATGAAATAGAGTCTTAATGCGTTGTACTTTATCGAGGAAACGAATCGAATTGTTCCTAACCTAATTTCTCATTAACTTGCCTAATCCAATAACAGATCTATTAATGCCTCACGTGTTAATGATTCGAATTATTGCCGTCCGCTAATGAACTTAATATTCCCGTAAATTTACAAACTCGAATTAATGAAGTTGGAGGTTATACATTCGGCCAACTTTATCTCGTCATAAAATTCTCGTTCGAGCGCCACTTCATCGCAATGTGGAATTTTCGCGTTCGATCGTCGTACGGTTAATTTACAAGCAAATTTAAGCGTTTAATAACTTTCGTGTCGCGAGTTTTCGAGTGGTGAGATCATCGATAATATCCGCGGTACGTTTCATTGCGTGTTCGCGTGCTATTTGGCAAAACGGGATGATCGTGGAATAAATTGGGAATTGAAATAAATTCAATTCGGGGGCGCTCGAGTCGAGCCTACTTCAGTTTCTCTCTTTTAAACGAGCTTTAATTTCATTGGCTTCGTTTATAACGAAGCTAATGAAAGGTAGCATAAAAATCGTGTTGGTTATTTCGACGAGATATTTTGTATATTATACATCTTTCGAATCCTTGAGAGAAATGAATCGCGATGTTTTCGTCATTTTAAGATTATTATCGATCGGTAAGGAAGATGTCTATACATAGAATGTAAACATCACTTCTCAAATATTTGCGAAAGCAATTTTTGTAAATGTTATAACAATAATTTGTGACAAATGTTTATTGGGTGTGGATAAATCGTATACAGTTCTTTAAATGGATAGAATATGAGAGAATAGACGATATCCTGTTTTGATAAGAGCTATTATTTTCGATCGGAACAGATGTGTTCGTTCTCGTGTCGAATTACAGAATAAATTTACCAAGGATATCGATCAATTTGAATAAAGTCGCGTCGTGGCACGTGAGATTGGACGGTAAGAAATAAAAGAAGTCGATGAAAGTAAGATTATCAGCAGGGAAACTTGGACTCTTCCTTATTATTACGCGTGGCGAATATACAGGATGTTTCACAAATTGAGAATTCTTTTCCTCGAATTGTTCGATTTTTCGGCTATTATCAATCCTCGATATCGATCATTGATTTCAATTATTATATTCATTGTTAACAATTTTAAAATAATTTCTCTTAATCATAATTTAAAATAAATAATAACGATATTGATAAAAATAAAATCCATTTCTTCGTTTTCAATTTATTTATTTATTTATCAGGGACAAGTGAATTTGAATAACGGAAAAGAAAAGAAATTCTTTCCAATTCGGAAAAAACGAACTTTTTTCCAAGTTTGTGAAACGACCTGTATCGCTATTGTCACGCTGGAATCACGAAATGGTTGCACACAGTCGGATATATATCCCTCCCTTTACTTACAAGGAGGAGGCCGGTGATCACGATTGTGTTGGTGGAAAAGGTTGAACAGTTATGTAAGGGGGAAGTTTATTGGCGAGGTAACACTGGAAACGAAATTTTCCTGCTGAATCGCCCCCAGTGCACGGAGCTCGGAATTATTTACGTCCGTATCAAGATTTACGGAAAATGAATTACCTGTAAAGGGATCTTTCGAATGAAAATATCTCTCGTGGAAAGTTTGCTCGAAAGAAAAA